GGGACATGACACCTGTCTATGAGCCAAGGAGGAAATCTTAGGACAGATCATTTCTCTCAGCTGTAAGAAAAGTTGTCATGGTATCTTGGCTTTGGCCTTCCAGTCTCCAAAGCTATGAGGCAGTAACTACTCCTGTGTAATACACTGTCATAGAAGCCCAGCAGCCTTCTGACATGGTTGGTCTTATATTGTACAGTGATGAAAGACAAAGCCTCAGTCAAAAGCCAGAATGCTAGACTCCAAAGCCTACTCTATAGATTACCTTGACTAGCTGTCAACCTCTCATTGGCACGGGAAGTTCTGGGCCTCAAAAACATTAAACTTGCCTTTTCTTTCACACTTGTTCTTCCTCTACCATCTACTGCAACACTTCTGCCCCTCAGGTGCCACAGCCATGGTTTTTACACTTTCCATGCTCCAGAATATTGACCCAAGTAAATCTCTGTTCTAAATTTAACAAAATAAAACTGAAGGTTTATTATTTTAAGGGTCTCATTGAATATGTTGTTTATATTCAACTTCTGTGAGCTCCATCCTCACATCATTAGATATTTTCATATAGATGTCTCATGAACTCAGGACTCAACATGTACAAACAAAACACAGCTATGGAGCAACACCCACCTACTGTCACATGACCGGCCAATCATTGAGACCACCTTATGAAAATCATCCCTGCTCCTTGCACTGGGCCCAAGGCACTGAGTTTTGACCTCTGCTCATTTTCTGTTCTGGTCTAGACAGCAACTTCTCTATCTAGTCTCCACAGTTTATCATCTGATTTCTAGCTCAAGGTCCAGACGATCTTAGCACACTTCACTAGTGGAGAACCTTCCTGAGAATTCACAATACTTCAGAAATGATTTGGCATTTATATGGCATGGTATGTTATTCTTTGACTTATTATTTCAATCTTCTGCCTGCCACCTGGATGACAGATTCCTCAAGAGCACCATCTGTATCAAATACTCCATCTTATTTACTGACTCTAGCTTAATGATACTCTGTAATTCACTCAATAGCTGTTACAAGAAGGGTGTCAGACAAGGTCACTAACCCTCATTAAAATTCTACATATGAACTGAGTCAGGAGGGAGGACATTTCACATTCCAGTAGGAACTGTAAAGGAAATGAAAAGGGCTATTGGCCTGGTGAGCTGCACAAAGATGGGTAAGATAATTGCTGGCTGCTATTTAGGCAGGATGGCCATAGGAAGTTTCTCTGAGAACATAGGAGTTTATAGCTGGTACCTAAAAGCAGCCAGGAAAGAGCTTTCTAGACAGTGGCAGAGTGTATGTGAGGGCCCTGAGATGGGACACTATGGAACGATTGAAAGAAAAGCAGCCAGAGTATTGGGTACAGGTTTTTAAAGGGGGCATTAATAAAACATGGCTTACATTTTTAGATTATAATAGTTTCAAAATGAAGAAACAATAAGGATGACAAAGAAGGAGAGAATACAGTGTAAAAGTTACTACAACAATCCAAGAAGAACTGGCGATTCCTGGAGTATAGTGAGGAGACTCCTATCAGCTGTGGACAGACATGAGCTACCTTTTAGAGATGTAACCAGCAGAACCATATTTGGGTAATTTCAGTAGGCAGTGCTGGACATTACCATTATACATGTACAGAGAATACGGCACGGGATGTGAAGGACCAGAACTATCTTTGGATATAAGGTTTAGGTAATTTGTTATACCACCCTTACTTGGTGGTGATATATTATCCTTCTTAGAGGTTGTTGAATTCAAGGGGAAATCCCAAGTAGGCAGATGGATGTACGAAATGGACACAAAGACAGGGTTTCTCTGTGTAGCTTTGCGCCTTTCCTGGGACTCACTTGGTAGCCCAGGCTGGCCTCGAACTCACAGAGATCCGCCTGGCTCTGCCTCCCGAGTGCTGGGATTAAAGGCGTGCGCCACCACCGCCCGGCCAAAGACAAAGTCTTAAATAAACACATGTATGGAAGTCAACAGCTTATAACTGCTATTTAAACTTAGAAAATGAATGAAATTATCCAGGAATGGGTGCTTATTAGAGAAAAGGTGGCTTTTTTTTTTCTCTCCTTAGGTTCTACAAACCTAAAGGGCAGCATAAAGCAAGTAGAAAAACAGACCTGCCTGGAGTCTCTGATGTTGCAGGAAAGACTGTTTCACATGTGTAATCTGCTAAAGTTAGAAAAAGAACCCACAAAAGGGAAGGTTTGGTATATAATAAAGAGGCAACAGATACATTTTCTAAGATGTTTCACCTAAATGGTAGTGAAAAAAGTCAAACTGAAAGGACTTGAAAGGAGGAATGAGATGAGAAAGTAGAAGAACAAGAGTGTTCTGGCTGGTTTAATGACAACCTGACACAAGCTGCGTCGTTTTGGAAGCGGGATCCTCAATTGGAAATATGCCCCTACCAGACTGGACTGTAAGCAAGCCTGTGGTACATTTTCTTGACTGATGATTGAGGTGGAAGGGCCCAGACAATTGGGGGTGGTGCCAACCCTGGGCAGGTGGTCTAGGGGTATAACAGAAAGCAAATAAGCCAGTCACAAGGAGCCAGTAAGCAGCATCAGCTCCTGCCTCCATGTTTCTGCCCTGTTTAGTTCCTTGCCAAACCCTCTTGAACGATGAACTGTGATATGGAAGTGTAGGAAAAATAAGTCCTTTTTTCCCCAAGTTGTCTTTGGTCATGGTGTTTTATCACAGCAATAGAAACTCTAAATAAGACAAAGAGGAAGAACAGAAAGAGGAAGAGGAGAAGGAAGATGCACATCATCATCATCATCAACATCATCAATGTCATCAACATCATCAATGTCATCAACATCATCATCAACAACATCATCATCATCATCATCATCATCATTATCAAATAACAAACCAGATAATGACAGAGTATATTTAATTTGTCAGTACCTTCACAAAAGTAGGTCGCAAAACACTGAAACATCATTTGGATCAGCAGAAGATGTAGCTTCGGTCCCTTTGATGGGAGAATGAACTGAGGTCTTAGGTAAAGATAATTTGCATTTTTATAAGATGTAGAAGTGAAGCTACTAATCCTAAGAGTTGTGACAGTGCACTGAAAAATTCCCATGAATAACATGGTTTTCATTAAGAATAGAAAACCTCCTATGCATAAATGAACAAAGCAAAAGGCAGCTCAACCTTATTTCATAAAATTAAAGCCTTATACATAGAATCTACTGCATTATGAGAGAACTTTTAGAAAAATAACAGTGGGGAAAATATTACAATATAATACTAATGTATAAAGGGATTGAGACAACCGAGGCAAACTAAAGGATAAAAACAATGGTGGTGTAGAACTTGTGGGCGCGGCCAACCAATCACTGGTCCAACTTGAGGCCCACACCACAAAAGGGAGCCAATGCCTGTCATTGCCTGGATGACTAGGAACCAGAGACTGGACAGTCCAGAGACTGACTCACTCTCTCTCACTCTCTCTCTCTCTCTCTCTCTCTCTCTCTCTCTCTCTCTCTCTCTCTCTCTCTCCCCCCCCCTCTCTCTCTCACACACACACACAAAGTCAATGAAATGATTAGTAATGATATTCTGCTATACTCATAGATTGGTGCCTAGCCCAATTATCATCAGAGAGGCATTATCCAGTAACTGATGGGAGCAGATGCTGAGACCCAAAACAAAACATTAGGTGGCGCTCAGAGAAACCCACAGAAGTGGGTGGGGGAGACTGTAGGAGCCAGAGGTGTCAAGGGCATCATAGAGAACATGGCCCACAGAACCAACTAATCAGGACTCACTCATAGGAGCTTACAGAGACTAAAGTGACAATCAGAGAGACTGTAATGGTCTAAGTTAGGATCTCTGCATGTATGTTACGGTTGTATAGCTTGCTGTTCTTGTGGGACTCCTCACAGTGGAATTGGGGTATCTCTGACTCTTCTGCCTGCTCTTGGGACCCTTTCCCTCCTACTGACTTGCCTTGTCTAGGCTTGATAGGAGCATTTGTGCCTAGTCTTATAGTAATTTGTTATGCAATGTTCAGTTGATATCCCTGGGAGGCCTGAAGTTTTCTGAAGGGGAACAGAGGAGGAATGGGTCTGGGGGAGAGGAGATGTCGGGAAGAGGGACTTGGAGGAGTAGGGGAGTGGAAAACCATGATTGGAATGTGCTGTGGGATGCTCTGTATGTCAAATGTGTTGCTCTGATTGGTCAATAAATAAAACACTGATTGGCCATTGGCTAGGCAGGAAGTGTAGGCGGGACAAGGAGGAGAATAAAGCTGGGAAGTGGAAGGCTGAGTCAGAGAGACACTGCCAGCCGCCATGATGACAAACAGCATGTGAAGATGCCGGTAAGCCACGAGCCACGTGGCAAGGTATAGATTAATGGAAATGGATTAATTTAAGCTGTAAGAACAGTTAGCAAGAAGCCTGCCACAGCCATACAGTTTGTAACCAATATAAGTCTCTGTGTTTACTTGGTCGGGGCTGAGCAGCCGTGGAACTGGCAGGTGAGAGAGATTTGTCCTGACTGTGGGTCAGGCAGGAAAACTCAAGCTACAAGAATGTAATATATGAGAGAAGAATTAAAACAACACAAAATAGGAAAAAAGAAAAAAACAAGAAAAAAGAAATTCAAAGGAGCAACAAGATAAGGACAATCCTTCATTTTTAAGAATTTCCTTTAAAAATCATGAATGTAGAATAATGACACTCAGAGAGGTATTTTAGTAGTGCTGCAAATAGAATCAGACATAAAAATATTCTCCACTTGCCTAGACAGCCCCACCATGAATTTCCCCCCACAAATCTGAATATAGAAAGATAGTCTTGTCTTGCTTAACATGACTTGATATGATCGTAGAAGGTACTGATTTTTTTTTATTTGAGTCTACACAATCAAATGAGACATTTAGTAGTGAAACTGTAAAACTTAGCATGTCTGGAGATGCAGCATACTTACCATGCTATGAACATCACATAAATACAGAATCAAAGAGAGGGCAGGATGCCTACCTTCCCTGATGGCCGTGAAAGGTGTCCCCTCTTCTTCCTGCAGCCTGATCACCTTTAGAGCCACCAGCTTCCCATTTACCCTGCAGGAAACCAAAGACAGCGAGAGTGACTCTGCAGAGCTCTACATCTTTTATGGTTCTGATCATGCACCCTAAAATTTCTGTTCTATGCAGTTCTTCCTTGAGAATGTCAGTGACTCGATTATTCTGCCACAGCCATATGTGTTTCAGCAAGGCTGGGAATCCTAGATCACTGTAAATATTCACATTATAAATACACTTGCAATAGGCTAATATTGAATTTGATATTTCTATGATTTAGTCTTTTCCATCCAGTAAAACTAGAGTTCAACAAAACCACTTGACAATGATTCTCAGTTTAATTCAAAGCAAAGCAGTGAAAGGGATATTTTCCTTTGTTTCTCAAACTGCATTGTCACTCTTGGGTAGGGTCATTTAATTACAAGGACAGAAAGTTGACACTCACATTCCCTTTCTCTCTCTCTCTCTCTCTCTCTCTCTCTCTCTCTCTCTCTCTCTCTCTCGGCAACACCCCCCCCACACACACACACACATCTTTCCCATTTTTAAAATAAGAGCTTCTGAAAACTGTAATTAATCTGGTTGTTTTGTGTTATTGTATATCATCAAAAATTTGATGAATAGGGGGCTGGAGAGATGGCTCAGCAATAAAGAGCACTGGATGCTCTTCCAGAGGACCATGATCAATTCCCAGCACTCACATGGCAGCTAACAACAGTCTGTAACTCCAGTTCCAGGGGATCTGACACCCTCACCCAGAATACACGAAGGCAAAACACCAATACACATAAAAAAAATAAAAATAAATAAACCTTAAAAAAAATGAATTACAAATTACAAAAGACATACCCAAAGAAAATGCTTCTTTGAAACACATTGTGTGTGTGTCTCTAAGGTAAGATTACACTATGGAGATAATTCTTTATTCAGACAATTCTGCTACTACCAACATCAAAGGTATAACTATATATTCTGGTCCTCTTGATTGCTTTATTTTCTACTTTTACTAGGCCTGATGGAATATTTTATTTGGTTCCCTTGTTCACTAAAATGTTTTAAAGGAGATACTAAATGTAAAAAGTACAAAAGATAGTTAGTGAAAAACAAACCACCCTGCCATACTCCTCCCACCACCTAGCTCCCACCCCCTGAAGCCAACATTGACCACTGCTCAGATATACTCTCTGGTCTTTAGGTCCTCCATATTTACACATAAATTATGTATATGTGTTTATGTCATATAAATTGACATATATATACATACACACCTGCACAGTGCAGAAAACCACATACAGAAATGTTGGTATATGATACACAGTGCACTGCAACCCCTTGTATAATATTCCTAATTTCATACTAGTCTTCAACTAAGAGTCATCTAGCTTATTCACAATTTTCTGCTACTACAGTGATACGATATCTTGTATATTTTACCCTTATTTTTAAAAACGTGAATAACAAATTCCTTTAAAAAAAAGACAAGATCAAAATATATACAATTCTAATTAGTATTTTTGATGAAAATTCAAATTTTATACTATAAAGCAGAAACCAATTTACCTTTCCTATAGCAACAATGACAGTTCCTATTCCTTTCCTCTGTCTCCTCTATGTTACCAACATTTGGTTTGCTAATCTTATAGGTCAAAATGGTTTCTTATTATAAGTGTGATTGCTACCAGAAATCTTCAGAGGAACCAAAATGGACAGACAGCTCATGTGACCCAGAGAATCCTGTGTCTGAGTTTGAAAAATGAATGTTAATGTCTTTAAAATAAATAAGGAAAAATTAAAAAATCACAATATCTAACGAACTTATGTTTGTTCAAAAAACTGCCCCAGAAGGGAAACCCAGAAGCCAGAGTCCTCATCACAATCCAACTGCCAGGTGGCATTTCTCCCTGAGCCCACTGACACTCCATTTCTGGCAATGGCAATGAGATACAGACATCTTGTGCAGTCTTCCTCCTGGAAGACTTCCTCCTTTCCCTGTATCTCAGCTGGGAAGGCAGGCCCAGCGATTTTCTCTCCTGAGTGCGTCACCTTGACTTTCCTAAGCCTGTTTGTGCTCTGGGTACCCAGGTGCAAGCATCAACAAATGCCTGCATGTGGGGGTCAGCTGGCTTCACAGTCTGTGATCCTCACTTAGTGCTTGAGAACTAAGCGAGGCTTTGGCAGGGATTGAGGCCACGATGCAGTCAGAACTGACATCTGCACAGACTTCTCAGCCCAGTTGAGCTCATCAGTGGCTCCCACAGGAGGCAGTAACTGATTCCAGGAACGCCTTGGAATTTTCCCCTCATTTACAGACATTTTCCTCTCACCCATAAAACACACACACACCACCTTCTTTCGTCAAAGCTTTCCACTTCCCTTGAGAAGCATTAAACAGTATGTACCAGGAACGGAATTCTGGAATATAGAATCTCATACTTCTAAAGGCCATGCACTTCAAACAGGCCCTGGGACCATGAAATATGACTAGTCCTTAGCACATGGAAAACAATGGAGCCTTTACTTGACTTAACACTTATTCCTGAGATGCAACTGAAGTCAGTCTGGTGGTTTGAATAAGAATGGTCACCATAAATTTCTATATTTGAATGCTTAGTCATCAGGGAGTGGAACTGTTTCAAAGGTATAGAAGCATCAGGAGGTGTAGCCTTGTTGGGAGAAGTGTGTCGCTGGGAGTGGACTTTGAGGTTTCAAAAACCAATGCCAGTCCCAGGTGTGCACGCTCGCTCGCTTGTTTGCTCTGTCTTTCTCTGTCTCTCTCTCTGTCTCTGTCTCTGTCTGTCTCTCTCTCTGTCTCCCTTTTTCTTTCTCTCTCTCTGTCTCTCTGTCTCTCTCTCTCTCTCTCTCTCTCTCTCTCTCTCTCTCTCTCTCTCTCTCTCTCTCTCTCTCTCTCTCCCTCTCTCTCTCTTTCTCTCTCTCTCTCTCTCTGCTTCTAGACCAGAATGTAACAGTCAACTACTACTCCAGTGCCACCATGCCTTCACCATGATGACAATAATGGACTAACTCTTTGAAACTGTAAGCAATCCCCCAGTTAAATGCTTTCTTTTATGAGTTTCCTTGGTCATAACGTCTCCTCTCAGCAACAGAACAGTGACCAAGACAGTCAGAATCCCTCTGAGCACTTTCAAAGATCAATCTACATCATTCTGTGGTGATGAAAAAAACATTTCCTTCGAATTTACTTTCTCTAAACACAAGAGACAATTTCATGGAATTATGATTCTGCAATTTCCATGAACTGAAACTCCAAGTGTTAAGGTATCTATTTGTTTGTTTAAATTTTATTTGTCTGATATGCATGAGTTTTTAATCTACATATAGGTCTGTTCATCATGTCTGTGTCTCGTGTCTGAGGATGCCAGAGAGAGATGTCAAATTCCCTGGAACTGGAGCTACAGATGGCTGTGAGCCAGTGTGGGTGCTGGGAATCCAACTCAGGTCTTCTGGAAGAGTCAGTGCTCTTAGGTTCCGAGGCCCCTCTCCAGCCTCAAGTGTTAGTGGATTTTGTGGGCTATGATCATTCAGTTGCTGCTGACATTGATATTTTAGATATCATATCAAAGGAAACTAAGAATGTCTTTAAAGTTCATATATTATAAGCTCCAGAGAAAAAGAGACTGCTTCATTCACTGCTACATGTCCAGTATCCAGGACCTTCCTGGCACAGTATATATTTTTAAAGAATGAGTATTGATGTACTTAATTCATGGATACTTTCCCCTTCCTCTATGCCAAATAAATCTAGAATAAGGTAGAAAACTTATTATTTCCAAAATTTTCAGAGAAATAAAAAAATTTATAAAACTGTCAGCGTCTTCATTCATGTTTGGCTTAAGGATTTCTTTATTTTCCTTTTGTCTTTTGTGGGTTTTTTGCACCCCACCCCCAGATTAAAAGTGAAGTCTCTCTGATTCTTAGCATATGGTGACAAGTTTTCATTTTGCGGAAGTTTTAGAATTTGTAGAATACTTTAATTAACCTTTTTACAGCCAAAAGACTCATTGCAACGCACTGACAACCTTTAACAATCTAAGCACAGAGCTCTAGCCAGCACCTCTCCCGCCAATGGCTTCACTCAGTTTACCACAAGGAATCATATTGATCATCACATTGCTCTTTAACCTGAGTCACCGTGACTTTCTCCTTCCTTAATTAGATTTTCTCTGCATGTCTGGACACTCACCAAGTGCTGAGTCCTTCAGTGTCAAAGTCCAGTAAAAATGTTAAGTCACAGGCTCAACCGTTCAAAAAGGATCTTTGGGAAGAATAATATTATGAAACTGTCTAATGTTCTAATTTGTGTAATACATATTTTAGTACTATTATCTGAAGTACTTAAAATTCTAAGGTACTAGCTATGCATGTATTTCACTTCTTAAGGGTATCAAATTAAGATGTCATCCATTAAAAAGCAAAAAAGTCATATTTTCTAATTATCTTATAGTTTCAAACTACTTTGAGTGCTCAAAACATGTAATTCAAACACTGATTTAAATAAACACAAAATTCAAATTGAATCAATAAATCAGAGCTGTTTACAGAAAAACACTGGAGATTCTCCTTTAACAAGTCATATTAATTAAATCAAAAGCTAATGAATAAAAGGCAATCAAGGTTTGATTGCCAGTGGAAACATTAATTCAGATAAATAACATGGTGAGAAAAATATGCTTTAACTTGTGTTAATATTGCTGTAGAACAGTCTTTTGAAGATACAGCCAGTTTTGTCTCCAGTTGTTATAACCTACACATGGAGTCATTTTCCTTCAGACACAACCGCCATTACTAACATGGCGTCACTGTGAGATACAATCTAAGCCCCAGGATGAGTAACTCAGTGTTCTAGTCTGGTCTGTATGTCACAAGGAATGAGCTGCCAAATGCAGCACAAGGCAGAGCTGTATAAATAGTGTCCAGTCATAGAGACCCTGGGACACTAGGTAGTGAGATCCAAGTAGAATCCAGCTTCAAACAGATTCTGACCACAATTTCAAAACTCTAAACTCAGAAATTGTGTCCGT